ATGTTAAATCTATCAAAGTTCCATGTATTTAGGCCAAGGGACTTACCTCCAATCACACCTAGTCGAAATCCCCCTTCAATTCCGTCCAATAGCTCCCAAGCTCGCTTAAAAATGGTGGAAATAACATAACCCTCGCGGAACAAAATGAATATAAAACTCCTACTGGCTTCAGGGGTTTCCGCTTCTGCGGTCCCCACGCCCGCTTCCGCGCAACCGCTTCTGCGGTTTCTGTCCGCTTATGCGGAATTTCATTAAAACTCAAGGGCTGCTTCTGCGACACAAATTTCCGCTTTTGCGGAAGCTCACCTCCTGGCCAAACCCGCTTCTGCGACGGCCTGTCCGTTTCTGCGGACTCGCTTAAGCGAAAAGTGTTCCGCTTCTGCGGAACTGTCCAACTCCACTCCAGACCGCTTTTGCGACCAAGATTACGCTTCTGCGTAACCGCTTATGCGGTCCATTTCCGCAGAAGCGAACATACCAGATACCAGCAAAATCTGCCATTTCCTCAACTTGAATTTCATCCCGATAGCCATCCGAAATCACCCCGAGGCCCCCGGGACCTCAACCAAAAGCACCAACATGTCTTAAAACATCATCCAAACTGGTTCCAATCATCAAAACACATCAAACAACACTAGAATCATCAATTCTCATCGGATTCAAGCCTAAGTTCTTTAAAAACTTCCGAAACTCACATTTGATCAAAAACCCAACCAAATCACCTCCGAATCATCTGAAATTTTGCACACATATCCAAAATCACCTAACGAAGCTACTGCAACTCTCGGAATTCCATTCCGACCCCCGGATCAAAATCTCACCTATCAACCGGAATTCGCCAAAATACTAACTTCGCCAATTCAAGCCTAATTCTACACCGGACCTCCAAAATAAATTCCGATCACACTCCTAAGTCATATATCACCTCCCGAAGCTAACCGAATCTCCGGGAATCACATCCGAGCCCTATAACTCATAAGTCAACGTCCGGTTGACTTTTCCAACTTAAGCCTTCCTTAAAGAGACTAAGTGTCTCATTTCTTATCAAAACCAATCCAAATCAACTCTAACACACCACATACCCATAATGAAACATGAAGAAGCATAAAATGGGAGAAACAAAGCAGTAACACATGAGACGACGGGTCGGGTCGTCACATTTTTTTCCTTCATTTGCCACTAACTTTTATTCTTCAATCACAAATAATTAAACCACCTAATCCCTGCTTCCCTCCTGCTATCTAATTTGTTGACCATCCCTTTGCATTACAAATAGTTTAATCCCTCTTGAAAATTACTTAGTTTTTACTGCTCTATTCGTTTAAATTTAAGTATTTTACTTTCCTTTTTTGCCAATTTAAAAAAGAATAACTCTTTGTATATTTGGTAATTCTCTAATCTATTTTACATGGCTTGTTCAAAACCACAAGATTTAAAGAGCATTTTGATACATTAAACACATCTTGAATTTAAAATCACAAAATTCAGAAGTCTTGCATATTTTATTAAATTCCGTATCTAATCAAACTAGAGTATAGTAAGATTCAAAAGTTTGAAGGTTAAAACATTTAACTTTTAAGGTGAATTCAGTTATATCATTAGAAACCAACAAAAGTTGGGCAAAATATAAAACTGACTGGTCCGCTGAAATTAATTGCATTCGCTAGCCGAAATATATAAAATATGTAAATCTTTGTATACAACACACATATACACAAAAATAAAATATGTTATTGACTATTATTTTCTAGAGCGGTTAAAACTATAGATTTCTCAATAAGTTTCAGTATAGTTTTTTCTAATAATTATTTCTAAGAATACAAGTTTATGGCAAAAAATCTACATAAGGATACATCCTTTTTCTTTTTTATTCTCAAATGCATTTTATAAAGAGAAGAAAGTTGGACATCACATGTAGTGATAATGGGCAGGTTGGCCATTTGCATAATCCCATGTTTTTGCCTATAAACTTAATACACCTGTAGCTTCTCTGCATATGATCTCATTTTGTCTTGTAATTAAACTTTGTGAGTCATATGGAGAATTTTAATTCATATGATCTCATTTTGTCTTGTAATTCATTTTGTCTTTCATTTCCTAGGACAGCCAAATCATATGGAAATTTTAAAAACTTACTTATTTTTTATGTTCGGATCTGAAATAATTCAATGTAAGAACTATTTAAAAGATATACATGATTTTTCTTTGCGAGAGCGAATCACTCTTTACCGCGACTTGAATTACTAGTTGGACTTTAATCACTAATCGATAGGAATTTTACAAAGCAGATCGGTCCTGGACAGGGACGGGCCTACACTATACCAAGAGGGGTCATCGGCACCCGTAAACAGTGGCGAAGCCAGAAATATTTTCAAAGGTGTTCAAACTTGAAAGAACTAAAAAAAAATTACTCGACGAAGGGTGTTCAATATATATTTTATACATTTAAAATCAACATTTTACTTATATATACACAGTGTAAATTTTCGTAATATTTCGGTGAAGGGTGGTCAGTTGACCACCCTTTGTTAAAGGTGGCTTCGCCCCTGCCCGTAAAGTTCGGCGAATTTATATATATATATATATATATATATATATATATATATATATGTCTTTAGAAAATAGTGATATATTAATAGTGGACACCCTATATACAAAACAAATTTTGATTGAATCCAAAAATGCATCCTCGACCTTCAAACTCTAGATCCGCCTCAGGTCTTAGATCTCTTATTTCTACATCCTATAAATACTCTCCTGGAAGATATTCCGAATTTTAAATCCTACCACTTACTCTTGGAAAGCTTATTTTTCCAACATGCGTAATGATTTGTAGGCAATTAATTATGATTTATGTGAAGGATTAACAAATAAGCTAACGAGCTAATTAACACTCCATATGGATGAGTCCGACCTAATAGCAATATACCGGACACGATTAAATTATATTAATTTATTTATGATTATGTTATTACCCATGATTATCGATAAAAATGCATGTGAATAATTAGAGACGTCATGTGTTTATTGATTTGATATAAATAACCGGCGTGAATAGTTTTATCCCAAGAGAATTCTCTATTTGACTCTAATCGCTCCAAAGTGTATACATCAGTTTTTCTACTAAAGTAACACTGAATACACTTAATTTAGAATTTTCAGAAAAGTAAGTTTATTCGCTATTAATCATCGTTAAATACTTACTCATGCTCGATGTTTATATCGGACTTTGATGAAGTTAAACACATATTTTGGACTACGCATCATATATTTTAATAATTCAATGAACCAAGCAAAACACTAGTACTAAATAGATCGGAAGAGCA